GTGGGGCTGGGGTCCCTGCTGTGGGAGATGGGAGGGAGGGGGGGATTTCCTGCTTGAGCAGCGAGGGGTGGAGTAGGGTATGAAGAAGACCCTGCTGTGCCTGCAAATCTCTGCCAGAGCTGCTAATCTCAGCCAGGGAGCAAAGGGAGGGGCCAGCCCTTCTGTGGAGCAGAGAGCCCTGCCCAGCCCAGAGAGCATGCTGGGATACTGGGGGTGTCTGATTTAACTTAAACCAGCAAAGGGTCTGGGACAGACATTGCATTAATTGGTTTGACCCAAATCAGTTAAGTCTGATACTACATTCAACCAGGTTTATCTCAAACCGGTTTCAGCCATTTTCAGACTGGTTTATGTGCACTGAACATCTGTTCTGTTACAGGTTTAAACCTGTTTCTGATCACTGAAACCAGTTTGTGTAATGTCTGTCCCTAGCCTTATTGTCAGGCACAGCTCACATCCAGCTTGGGCTGGATTCCCTCCCAGGCATGGAGCACATGGAAACTCTGTCTCCTGCCCAGCTAATCAGCAGGACTTCTGCATGACCTAGGGATGAGCTTCCGTGTGCTGTGCTCCAGGAGGGAGAGGGAACAGAGCCCAAGTACTGTCTGACAGTAAGGACTGGCAGGGAGAGACTGCAGGGAGCAGCAGGGGAGGGAGCAGAAATTGGGGGGAGGGGGGACAAAGGCTGTTGGGAGCTGGGTGTGGGAGGGTGGCAAGGGAGGCAGAAGGCAAGGGGGCCACCTGACCACCCAGCCACTATTTTCCCTGCTGCAGCAGTAGGAGGAGGACAAATTTAAGACAACCCTCTGATAATTAGATTCTATACCTGGAAAATTTTAAAATTTATAAATTTTTCATATACAGAATCCAATTATTGGGGAGTCATAAATTAAGAGTTGACTTAGATGAGTAAATATGGTACTGTCTGGGAATATTTGTGTGACACTAATGTGAATTATGATTCTAGGAGATGCTGAATGTTTTCAATCACTGGCCCATGAATACGTTCACTGGTATAGTGCTTTGGCCCAGTGTTTATTTATATGTTGTAGTAATGCCATGGGGCAGGATGCTATTGTACATAGACACAGTACAAAACCACAGCGAAGAGAAGACTTGCAGGGTGATTCTAATGTTGTGCATAGTAAGCTGTGCATCAGAGGGAATGGGAAACCACACCATGATTTTCAGTATCACTATATTGTTGATGTTGTAGGAAAAGAATTGCAAAACTGCTTATCTTTTAATTTAGAGATTCAGGTTTGATTATAATAGTTCCAAGTAGTAGTTTTTTCCTAGTAAGCACTGTCTTCTTTCTGAAAAATTAGAACATGCAACATTATCATAGTTTCTTCTTACCTATATTCGCAAGCTCTTTTTCAGTGTTTCCCGGCCTTTTGTTGGTTTCAAAATAAGTCTGACAAGGTTTAGATTGTTTTATTGGTTTTTAAGGTGTTATATCCATTTCAGTTTATTTGATGTATTATTCCATTTGTTCCTGGCTGTGTATTGAAATATGCTGATGCTGACCTTTGTGTTATTCCATATTCTCCCCTCAAGACTTACAGTCACAGAGCTTTTTAGCCTTTTTGCATCGCAGCCAAAAAATGGAGCCTCATCTTTGTTGACTTGGTCATATTGAGGCAATTGAGTCAAGACTGAAAAATATTTATTTGACTTAGTTTTTCACTGTGGATATGTTTGAGCTTCTGAAGTTGGTCTTGCTGTCATCGCTCTGGCTTTTGTGGAGTTGGCTTATTAGCGGAAGGAGCTGAGAAGCCATGTCATAAAGGAGCTGTACAAAACGATTGCTGTAGATTTCAGTGCAAATTTTATCTGAGAGCTCCTCTTTGTCTCTTCTTTTGGCAGAAAAAAAAAGTCTCCTTGCACTCTAGGCTGCCATTTGAGTTGTATTGTATATTGCATTCACTTGTTTCTTCAGGGCAGCTTGCAAGGTGTGACTTATTCACAGTTAGTATAAAATATTCCCCCAACATACATATGATACCAGTATTTAGTGTGTTTCCTCCTTCCCTTATCCCTTGATCAAATTGACCCTTTTAAAGAATTAGGCCAGGCTGTCATGCCAAATAGAAGGGTCTCCCAGAAGAACAGTTTGGCAGATTAAAAGGTATTTGTTTTTATAATGCACAAGAATTAGAAGTTCAGTTTATTGGCCTTGTGGCAGAGTCCTATCTGTCCAGGTTATTTTGTGTGAAACTAAGTAACCCTTTTAGGTTTGAGTTCATTGTTCAGACCATCAGTGAGTACAGCAGGTGCTTTCTGTAATGATCTTGTGAAGTCCTTTCATAAGCCCAGCTGCTTTCAATTTTGGGGGGTTTGCACACCTTAGAATTTCAAAATTTGCTGCTTCTCTACTTTACTGCTTATTGGACCCTTTGCTGTTCTTCAACATCCTATGCAAAAACTGTTTCCAGCACACATGGCTGTGTTACATTTAATCATTTGATGCTTCATAAAAAAGATATAATGGCATATTCAGGTTGATTTACATTAAAATACTTCCACAGGTGGGATGGGGTGATACATATTTTCACAAGGGAAAGTAAAATGCCAGAAAGGTTTGCCTGACTGAATCTGAGGTTGCCATAGTACTTAATGGAAAAAAATTGCAAGATTGAAAAATCTTTCATAGCTCTGCTTTTACTGGGGATGCCCATCAGCTTTAGCAGCACTTTATGCTGACATACTTCTCCAAAAATAGAATGTATAGAAATTTGGTGATACCATATATTATGCTGGTTCATTTAATTGTATTTTGTGGGTGGATGGGTAGGAGAGAGAAACCTAAAAAATAATGGTTTGGAAAGCCTTTCTAGTATGTGGACCAATGGATTTCATTGCAGCCTTCAATGAACAGCTGATACTGGAAGGAAATGGTCATTTTGATTTTGAAGTACAGTTAAAAGAATGCTGAAAATGTGACAAGTAGACCAGATGGGAACAGTATAAGTTTTTTAAAAAATCTGCTATTCCCTCCCTCTAGTTTTGGGTTTTTATTTTTTGGGGATTGGGGGGGATGAATATTCATTCTTATACAACACCTAAAAAACGTTTTTGTGTTTCCTTTGTTGCTTTTGTACCAAATGTTTAATAGGGAGAAATATTGATATGTTTGTAAAGGATAGCATCAGTGGAGAGGGAAGAACTGGCTTCTCTGATGTCAGTACTGACTGTAACTTTGCATGTTTAGGCTTTAGGCATCTCATAGGTAGCACACTGGTGTGGGGGTCAGGAGGCCAGAAAGCTTTTTTGGTTCAGTCAAGTGATCTGCTATATGGTCATGGACAAATCACTTCATTACCTCTGTTTCCCTTTTTACTCTTGGGCTGGCTTGTCTACTTATTATATCTTCCTATAATACCCAATACTGTAGAATTTTATTTCTAGTTGTAACCTCAGGGTACTATTACAGTACAAGTAATAAATAGGATTAGATCAGGTAACTTGAGAAGGCATCACTAGTGGAAAACTGAAATAGTGCAGGAAGGGGTGCCTTAATTGTTTGGTAGATAATACCTTTTTAAGGCAATATTAAATCAAAGATAATGAGTAGGCAATCTACTGATACTTCATTTCAGTCATCTGTCTCCCATGGTACTTTTTCAAAGCCAGGGTAGGAAGAAGGGTATTGCCACTTACTTTATGAATAGAATCAATAGAATATACTTCCTTACCAACACTCATATAAAGGAAAATGATTCAAAGAGGCTAGTGCTCCTGTACTCCAGAATAGGTGGCCATTACTGCTAGTTAAGTGAATGCTTTCCTTTTTTTGCAAATACATTGATTATCGTTCTGAATAAATCAACTTTTCCGTTTTTAAATTTGTATATAATTTCATGGGCCCATTTTTAGTTACTTTGTATTTTAGAAAATAACTGATAATGAAACATTATTATGAGGTTTAAGTACTGCTGAATTGTCAAGCTAGCATTAGAGAATTTAGAAATGTATATTTCCACTATTTCTGTTACACATTTCAGCATTGTCAGCCCTTAAAATCACCAGCATTTAGAAGTTCTTTTGTGTGTGAGTGTCATCTCTTCCAATGTCATTTAAGCATCCATATAGCCCAGTGCCAGTTAGAAGTGTTTACTAATATTATTCTTCTAAAATTTTAGACAACATCTGGAGAAGATGTGCGGGACTTCACTAAGGTGCTAAAGAACAAGTTCCGATCAAAAAAGTATTTTGCTAAACACCCCCGACTTGGCTACCTACCAGTGCAAACAGTTCTTGAAGGCGATAATTTGGAAACGTAAGTTTGAATATGAGCAACATGAGGTTTACCAGTTCTTTTGTTCTTTCCTTCGTTCTTTGGTTCATTCTTTCATTCTTTTTTATAGATAGATAGATAGATAGATTCTACCACCACTGTGGATATCTAAATGAGGGAGTATCTTCTTTGAACCATTTTTATACAATTTATTTTGCACACAACCAATTTATAAATATGAAGTTCCTCTTCCAGAGATGTTGGGATGTTTTTTTACTTGCCTCAGCAAACCAGATTTAATAATAGTTACTCTTAGAAAAAAATTAAGATGCACCAGCAAGATAAGACTCATTCTATTGATTGCTTTCCCTGACATCCGGGAATTTCAGGTTGGAGTAGAATTGTTTATCGTGTTTATAGGGCAATATGACCAGGATTTCAGAAAGTGAATGAAAACTTCCTGTGCAGGGAAGTGAAAAAAAGAAAGAACCTTAAGGCTAAGCACAGATATTCAGGGAGGTTAGGGGGGAGGTTAGTTCTTGTTCAAAATGGCCACCCGATCTAAGATAAGTCAGGATGGGGTAGCTAGCAGGGGCATTGGGGAAATGGGGCCAGGCAGGGTTGGGGGATGGATTGGTGGGATGAGGGATGCAGGTGGCATCTGCAGGGGGTACCTGGTGTATAGGAGGGTTTGGTGGGTTTGGGGAAACTTGCTGGGTCCACTGGGGCATTTGGGGAGGACCAGGGGCAATTTTTGGCTGCTCCGTAACCCCTGGAACCCCCCCCCCCCCC